CGGCGGCGACGACGACGACGACGACGACGACGGCGACGACGACGACGGCGACGACGGCGACGATGACGGCGACGACGGCGACGTGGACCGGGACACCGTAACGACACGAAGCACCGCGACACGTAACCGCGAACACAGACACTCGCGGTCGAGGCACCACGCCGCTAAATTTTATCTACAAGATGTCTGTCTCTCTACTTCTCCGCGGCGCGCACACTGACGGCTCCTCGGCGGGCAGGAGGACGGTCGCGCAGCCCGCCGCGCGCAGCGATCATTCGAGACAGCCGATTGGCCGCTCCGCCACCAGCTGCCGCCACCCGCGCATCCACCGCTCGCCGTTCGTGCCGGCTACGATGAAATAGCGAGGCGCCACTGACCGACCGCGAGTTCTCTCATCGATACTTTCCGCTCTTCCGCTCTTCGCCCGCGACCAGATTTTACTTATTTGCCTAATGCCCGTTTTTATCATTGCAGATTAACTTCAAGTCTTCTCTCAGTTTATCTTTTTCCTGGTTTTAAGATATTAGAAAAACACAGATGTCTCTTTTCACTTTCAATGTATTTTGACTTTTATCTCGATTTAACTTGCTTTTAATCTTCCTCTAGAAAATTTTAAGAATTAGAAAAGATAAAAAATAAATTAACCCGAGATTAAAGTTAATCTACATTGGTAGAAATGGACCAGAGTAAATTGAATCAAGATTAAAATAAATCTATACATTGGTAGAGGTGGATATGATTAAGTTGCACATTTCTCGTGCGTTCGAAATGCAAGAAAAATGTTGAGTCATTTCAAATTTTGAGAGGTAAACGGAAGCAGAAACTTCCTGAGCAAACCTCGGAGAGTATATTTATTTTGCTTATTTTTTAACGTGATAAATGATTAAATGCAATAATATTTGTATATAAATTTGTTTATAAATCCCTCATACAACATGTGATAGATTAAGAAAAAACGCGCGTGTAACTCATAACAGTCTTTCATTTTTTTTCCTCAGAAATTAATAAATATGTAACGAAGTACATAATGCGATTGGTTAACTGCGCCACGTGCAACACGTTGCAGCATTCTGTATGCAAGAACTATAAAAGTTGCAATGATTTACATTTTTTTCTTTCTTACAGCTAATTCTTAATTCTGAACCTATTTTTATACAGCTCTATTTTCTTGTTTCCGTAACACGATACATTAATGCTTTTGTAGTTTTACGTTGAACTATACTTGATCTAATGTTAATTTATACAATATGAAGTTTTTACACAGTTCTATAATAAACATTTAAATTAATGCATGACTATAATCAGTAAAACTGTACTTTGAGTTCTCTAAGGTTTCTGTAAATAATAAAAGAGAGAAGAGAAGAGCGAGAGAGTTCCTTTTATGTTAAAAGCCATTAGAATGAAAACATATTTGATTTCCGCATTTCATTTATAATCAAAAATAGTTTAGATCGTAATGTACTAATGTTTATAATCTTTATATAAATAGACTTGATTAATCACTCCATCTCTCAACTGCAAATATACTAATTAAACATTAATATAATAATGGAAAATAATTTGCTTTACAATCAAAACAAGCGACAATGTTATAATAATTTATATGTTAAAAACTAAATGAAACAATATATTAGCGGCATGAGAACGATTTCGATTAAATGTCAATTAATTATAAATTTATCAGTGATAAATTTAATTGACAAACAAAATAGGTTATTCCAAAGTTCTTTACTATTATTATTTGTTGTCCATAATATAATTTTTCTATGCATTAAACAAAAAACTGTTTATAATATATGTAAATGTAAACATAATTAATAAAATATTATAGATAAAATACGGATGTTAAGTGGAACAAAAACGGAAGTATTTTTTTTTAATACAAGATAACAATCATAATCTGTCTTCGTTATACTTTCTGCTAAACATTATCTATTCTTTTTTTTGTGAAATAAGACTTATTACATAAACGGACGTTTGTCTGATATATTATTTTTACTTGAATTTTTACGGGATGGGAAGCTTCGTCAGTTTTGCAATCACAATGCAAGCAATATCTCGCTTTGCACTCGACCTTGTATATCCATGAATGTCGGTAGAACAGACCAATGATTAGAGATCGTAAAGAATACTCTATCCAGACGTTGGTAGTTATTCCACATAAACGGCAGCTGGTAAAGCTACCTTTCCGTTATCGCGCATATTATATTTGAATTGGCGATAAAACATTTGTGCACCAGTCGCTCGTTTTTTGCATCGTATATGCATCTGTGTCAAATCGATGCTAAAATCATTTACTGTTTTTTTTTCATCAAACTTTGTATTAAATAACAATCGTAACCGATATCTTCCACTTTTCCTTAATACAGCACTGTAGTTTTTATAATTGATTATAATTAACGATTTTTAATATAATACCGGATTTTTTATCTTTTCCTCTTCGACGTTTTCATTCACACGAGAACATCTGAACGTAAATGTACGAGTTTTGATTGACGGCATGTATCGCAAGCGCGGTTGGAACGTCAACGGCAAATTGTTCGGTAACAGGTTGACGATGTTCTGAATTTTATTTTCCCTTCGCTCGACGTCAAGTCAATAGCCTTTGTCGCGTCTCAAGGGAACAACGTGCGATAATTCCGCATGTGGTTTGCGGTATTGTTTATAAGCGCTGTCTCGCTTGTGTTGGGAAACAGATTGAGAGAATTTGCGAATAACAGCAGCGCGAAACAATTCCTGCAGCCTGACGTTTGTTTAATCGGGTATTCTTTTTAGTAAGAAATATTTTTAAAATGCACAGGTGAATTCCGCTAGATTGTTACAATAACGACACTATCGTAGTCTGTAATTGGCCATGTTTAAATCTTATATCTTAAGAAATTACTACTTAAAAGAAAAATTTACAAATAACGTTTTTACTTAATTTTTCCGAAATTTTCTTGCACTGAGAATCCCATTCGGTTGAATCAACTAATCTCTAATTTAGATATAGTATACACACAAATCCTACAAATTTAATTATTATCTAAACATTTTATTTGTATTATCGCAAACAAATAAAACGTTATAACATAACCAAAATTTTTGCTTCAATTAAATTATTTTATTGCATCAACCAAGGATTGATCAGCCCATCTAAACAAGAGATTAGTTGATTCAACGAAATGGGATTCTCAGTATATAGTATTTTAAGTTGCGAATTTCGGGACATCCTGTATAATCAATTATCAATTAAATTTTATTGAATAGGCAAACATGTAGCAATTCGGTAAATGTCGATCGGTGTATGCAGTTCATCTCTTGCAGCAATACATGGGACGTATGTGTTGTTATCGGCTTTATCGAAACTTCTTTCGTTATTCACTGGGCTATCGGAATTGGGATAAACAACCGGCAACGTTGGCGTTTGCTTATTCTGACATTTGTGAACGCTTTATGGTTTGACAGACAACAGAGTAGTATCCACTCATCATCCATTCAACAAGTGTCTTCTTCATTTCTGGCTAAAATGAACGGAACTGTGCACTACGCTATGGTGGCTTTGCGTCAGACATCCGGTTGCAAGATCATTGCGGATTATTCCACGAATCCAAATCCGATCTATCGTACTATCGCTCTCAGTACCATCGATGGTCTAAAAACCGTCGAGGACGACAAGATCAGCGTCGATAACAGTAGGTAAGATTTTTTTAAATTTATGCACGCCATAATAGTTACTTGCAAAGAATATGCAATTTTTAAATTTATTTTAAGAATAACACGTAATAAAAAAGCAACGGTTTAATCAAATATATGCATTTCCAGCGGTAAAGAGAGTAGATTTCGCGTATTAAACCTGTTTTTCACTTAAAAAAGCGCGTTAAATTGTAAGATATATTATGAGATACATAGTTATCAATTTTTCTTGTAATGATGTTCGCTGAAATCAAGTGCAACAGATTAATTAACCGATAAAATTAACATGCCTCATTACTGTTATTCTTTTCAATCAATTCTTTTTTTTAATTTATTGAGTCACATTTTGCCAATAAAAATTATTTTATAATTATAACATTATCAAGACACTGAAGATGACCTTAATTAAAATTGAAACGTCTGTTATTCGTATTACTGGCAACCGTCATATCAAACATTATCAAGCACTTAGATAGCCAGCTCGTTTCATGTTTACTACTTTGTATTTAATCTTCAAGCAAACTTGTTATTTATTATATTTGTTATTATTTGATCTGCGCTGCAATGAGTAAAATAAAATACAATTCTTTCATAGATATACGGTACATGTGCTGATTGGGGAACTTCACTATGTTTGTTTGACATCGAAAGTGAACTGCCCCTCATCAGCGATATGGGTAGAATCGTGCTCTCAAATATTTTTGCAGAGGCTACGGACGGTTTATAAAGACTTACCGTTAGCAGATTTATCGAAAAATTTAACCAATCTCGCGGAAGATGAGTTCTCAAAGCCATTAAAGAAAATAATTGTAAGTGATAAAACAATTTTATATAGTAGGGAGAAAATATGGAATTTTTTAATTAAACAAATTTTAAAATCTTTTAAAAAATAGAAAGAACAGTTTATAAGTTACTTATAATACGTTCAAACTTTTTGATTAGCTTTAAAAATCGACAATAATGAAACTGTAACACATTAAAATATATTAGTAATTTTATGTTCTATAACAGCCTCTCTCTAAAAATAAATGATATTATCGCTCATAAATTTATGCAGATAAATTGTAAAAATGTCAATACACACATATAAAGAATAAAATTGATATTATTTCAGGAAGAGTATAATCAAGGTATTGGCTGTAAGAATCTGACTTCAAAGTTAGAAGAAGAATTGATTGAAGTACGTCGCATTTTGATGAATGGAGTCCAAAAGTTGATTGATAGGGGCGAAAGGTTAGACGAACTCATCCGAAAGACGCAAAATCTCGAAATTTCGGTGAGAACATCTCGACATATTTTCCTTTCTCTTTTTCATTTCCTTTTTGTGTCATATGTTGCCTTTTGACAGGCAGAGGAGCTCACAAACATGAAATATGAAACACCAATCAAGAACGAATAAATCGTAAAGCAATCGTGCAATATTTCCTATCAATACTCGAATTAATTAAAAATTATCAATTCGTATTAATAATTCATGCAAATTGATCACTGATGTAACTCCATTAATACTTCTATATATATATATATATATATGATCTCTATAATGAGAAACATTGTTACACCGAATAACTGCAACTATACAAACGCAGTTTCTAGTAGCTTTAATTATAATTGCAAAAGCAAAAAATAAATTAATCTTAAATGCAGGGTCGCACAACTGACCTTATTAAATTTACAGCAATCGCTTATCCACTGCAATACATAATATTTGTGAATATTTTTATTACAGTCGCGAGACTTCCACGTAGTGTCAAGGACTCGGCAAAAGAAAAACAGCAACTTGAAGATAGTAATCGTAACATCAGCCTTCATACTCGTGTTAGTTGTATTTCTTACAGTTTTTATATACTGTTTTGAAGTTTACTGTAATTCTTATGCACATGGCACATTAATGACTACTCGAACTAACTAGAAAACTTTAAATTATATTAGCGTTACTCATCCAGCTCGACTTACTCTTTATAGTTTTGCATTCATACATTTTTTTGTATTTTAACAATAAATATACCTTCTCTTGTATGACAGTCATTATTTCGCATTATAATACAAATTAAATATATGCAAGCTGAAATTATAGGTAGATATTTGCAATACTGTCAGTATCTCAAAATATACATTGATTACTTTATTAATAGCGTGTTCCTTGTTCAATTAATATTTCTTTTAATTAAAAACTTGTACCTTAAAAAAATAATTCATAAAATTGGATTTATCTTGTCTGTTAATACTTATTAAAAAATTTATGCGTTGATCAATCGATCTAGTATACGAACTGTCAAAATACACGATGACAGCTGTTCATACACATCATGTATTGAGATCATCAATTAGCATTATAAAAAAAAGCTACAATTAGATACGATCGACTTCTGATGGCTTTTTTAAAAGTGTGCGAATAAAAAATAATGATCTTCGATTTTTAATATTTATCAAATAACTATTTCTGAGTAATTCGACACATTAAAAAAATGGCGTCGCAATTAAGATTTGCGACTAATTCTGCTGAATTGCAGAATATAATTAAAATTAAACACGATTTAGCCGAATCATTGAAACTTATGCATTTTCTTGCTGCTCGTAAGATTCAGGTTAGTTAAAATCTAACTATATTAACGCGGGATATATATTAATTAATACATATATATTTAAAGCTTCTGATGTTTAGGCTTGGTTCCGCGGTATCCTTACCCGCAAACATCTTCGTAAACTTCGCGAAAAGGCGACGATTCTGCAACGTCAATGGCGCGGTTATTATATCAGGATGTTCATCATTAGACCGTATTTAGTCGAACGTGTTCACCAGATGTGGCAAGATCATTACAATAACATGGCAATAAGAATCCAAGCCGTATGGAGAGGCTATTGGTCTAGAAAAACAAAAATGAATCTTTTACAATTACGACGATGGTTGAAAAATGTTTATATAAAGAACGATGAAACTTTAGAAAACATGAAAAGGTATGCTCTCGCACATGTCTTGTTGTATATAATTTTAGCAACATACTTTATTTTGTAGATTTAGACAACGAGAGCTTGAGCGCACGGAAAGTTTGATTGAACAAGAAGCAATGCTTTGGATTTTATTTATTTTGTTTAAGGTAAAATAATATAACTAATTAATATAAGATCTTTGCAATTTACACATATACACCTTGCTATCTATTATATAATTTAATATTTAAACACTATACATTATGTTCCTGTAAAGCTGCATCACTTGCTGAGAACAAAGTGCCGTCCAGGTGTCATCACAAGAATTGATAAAACTCGCTTTATATACATCGAAGAAATGTTAAAGTGTCTCGAGTACAATCAATATATTGCGAAAGCAAAAACTATTTGTAAAGACTGTCAAATCGATCGTAAATCATCCTTAATCTTTCGAGACACTTATTTTGAGAAATGTGAGAAAAAAATTCGTGAGTTTGAGAGAAGTTTGAGTCCTAAGAAAGTGCACATTTGTAAAAGTATAGTTAATTAATATTGAATCAATTACATAATTTTTATAATAAAATCTCACAATCTTACAAACAAAAACGCATATTCCATCGTTTCACACTTTTATTAAATATTGCCTTTTTTTACCCTCTGTAGATCAGTGTTTCAAAAAGGAAAGAGAAACTATGGTAAAGAATAAACTAGATCATTAACAAAACAATAAATGTTTCGGAAAATGCTTACATAAAAATGTTATATATGTACAACCAAATAAATCATACGAATCAAAATGGACTACTAATTAAACCAGATTCGCTTAAACTGTCCAATACACACACACACACACACACACACACACACCCACCCACACACACACACACACACACACACATCCACCCACTCACACACACACACACACACACACACACACACACACACACACACACACACACATTTGACAATAAAAATTTTTTTAATCGGAACAAGAACTCTGGTACAAAGTCAATAAAAAAGCTAGTATAAGAACATTGAAAGTTTTCCACATGGAAACAGGTTCTAATTTTTGCTTGATTCTACGCTTGAATTGGATAAAAAAGTTATTATTATGTCAGATAAGGCTTATCAGTTCTGATAAAAAAACTATACGATTATTGCTGTGCTTTCCTTAAACGTATCAATTATTGTAATGATAGCCTCATCTTCCCTTTTATCTTTCACTGATGACGTCACCCGGAATATATGATCTCGAAATGCATGTGGATTGTTCGGCTTTTAGTTTGTTCTGCAAAGCAGGCCCTTCGCAGTCCTCTCGATAAGTCAGAGCATATGTAGCGGCGAATTCTTCGGGCTTCGTCAGGATACAATTCTTAGGCGTAACAAAATCGTTGTTGGATCGCATGTTGTAATTACCGCAGAGACCGCGTACAGTATAGAGATATTTATCGTGTACCTAACAGATGTGTTTCATTACATTTAAATTTCACGCATCTCTTGATTATATTTTATGCAGTCACATAAGTAGTTTAACTTATGTAGTCTATTTTATATACAACTAGCTTCATTTTTTTACTTACATAAAGTAGGATACGTTCTCCATCATATACGATGTGAATATTATATCGCAGCGAATGCATTATTATTATTTCATCCTCTTGATAAATTGCGTATAAGTCAGTTTGTCCGTAGCTCGTATAATTCGAGAAATAAGAATCATATTCCTCACCACCAACGACAGAAACTTGGAGACGATCGTCCAATTTTCGCAGATGAATTTCTTCATGACCCAAGATTATCCATATCTGTTTACTGCCGTCGACCATTTCTCGGGCCATGACAATTGCCCTCACATCATACCGAAAACTTAAAATTTTTTCGGGATTATTGGAATCCCGCTTTGGATAAGGCGCCATCATAACGTGCCAACATTTTCCTAATGTCAAGGGATAGACCTTATTGTCAAAAGTTACAACATGGGTTTTGTCGAGAACGCACATATCTGCAAAAAGTTTTCATATCTAATAAAGCGACGTGACACTAAGTACATAAATAAAGATATAAAAAAAGAGAGTTTTCTCTAGACATAAAGAAAAAAAAACATAAAGAAAATACGATTCTAATGTAATAATGCATGTATTATATGGAAAAAGAGCTATTTTCAAATTAATATATCAAAAATGAAAAATGAAATAAATCAATATTGAAATAAATCAAAATACATTTAAAAATTAACAGTCGATATTTTTATAAAAATAAATTTGTTGCCGGTGTAATGTCATGGAATCCCTTAAAATCTTAGTGTTTTGCATCTTTGACGTTACATTTAAAAAAATGCAAATTAATAATTAAATTTAAGTAACGGTTCGTGTTCAGCAAGTAAAAATATAGGAAATGCCTGTTCACATTCGCAATACAGAAAAACGTTAAATTTTGTTGCTCCCCAAGTAGTACAGCAATGCTTGCAAATAAATGCTAAAAAAGTGATTATATGTGCTTTTTTAGTGCTTTGTTAATGCTATAAGCGCTGTGTGCTACTTGGATCAATGTAACATATCCATTTTTTATAAATAATTTTCCAATATATTTTTATAAAGTTTTCGGGATCTTTTTTATAATGACTACTTTAATAATTGTATTGATCTCATACATACTTTTGAATGCACTTACCTCCTTCCAAGTCTTCCTTAAAAAGCTTGTTTAGTGTAAAATTGGAAAAAATAACATTAGGATCTTCAATAAAGTGTGACAGAGAGAACGAAACATCCACTTGTGAAGTGCTCAAAGAAATGTTCACATCATTATTATCAAGTGGCATTTTTATTTCTACATCCATGTTCTTATTAACGCTTTGCAAGTTAGATATTTTGATATTATTATCGGAAATCATCATTTTGATCATCATGATCATTCTGTTGGCAAGCAAATAGAAATTATCAGAATTCGTTTCCATTGACATCATCAGAAGATCCCTTTGTTGGATTAATTCATTAGCCTTTTGACAAGTTGGTAGCCAAATATTGCCTTGTTTCATTTGTTGTTGACATTCCTCAACTATCACGGATTTCATTGCCTCTTTTATAACATCATCAGTGCGACTCAAATTTCCTTTGAGTTTTATCGTCTCTCCATTTGCACAACTTCCATATCGCATCTCGATGTTAAATTCATAATTCGGAATCTTTTTGATTGCCTTCTCAACATTTAGATGATTGTAGGGTGATAATCCAACAATGCTATTAACACTGCAAAACTCCCAGAAGACTTCTCCATCTAGCGATTGGACATTTCCATAAGAAAGAGTCTGCAATTTATCGAGGCTGTCTCCCAAAACAAAGGTGAAAACGTAATAATTATTATCAGCTAAAACACTTATGTCATACATTGTAGATGTCGTGACAGAATAAACATAATTGTCAGATCTATTATCTTTGGTAATTGTGAATTCATCTAAAAATTGTTCTTCTCTTTCCCTGCTGTTAGGTCGTTTGTCAACTATTGTAGGAATTGTTACTTCCGAACTTCTATTAGTCCTCCTGACATAATAAGTTAAATTTACTTGTGCTTCTACGGGATATAAGATGGCGTCGAATCTCCTGTAATGAGCACCAAGATTTAAATAAAATATAGTAGAAAGCTTAATAAGACCTTCAAGTCCCTTCTTCTGCGACATATCGCTGTCAATAACATCACTTCTTGCGGAGAGTGTCAGATTACCTAGCGAAAACTGTACTTTATTCGGTTCCTTCGTGTGTACTAGACGTCTGTCATTGCTGAACTCTACAAGTTCGAGAATGTCCTGTTTTGAGGTATAAGGAACTACACTATGGTGAATCGCTAATCGTTTGATTGAAAACCTGCTAACACGATGGTTATAATGAGGGTGTATCTTCAGCTCAAATGTACCGTTACCTCTCACTTTGACATTTAATCCGGCTGGTATAGCAACGTGCGTATTGACATCGACACCAGCAATATAGTGTCTGTGCTCGAAAGGTGTTACGAAACCAATTCTACTTTGGATCTTTTCACTTGATACTATATAACCTGTTACTGCCAGTTCTACAAAGCTATCATTTTGTAAGTGTGTGACTTTAACAGATGCTCCCTTGTTAATGGACATTATGTTCGGTAATGCTAAAGTATAGATGAACGGCAGACCGGTTTCAGTCGGGAATCCCAACGTTACGTCGTAATGGTTTAGATCATTTATGTTTTTGTATTCAAAAACGTATGATCCTGTTTGCGATATCGATTTTTGATACGTTTTCAACACTGTAATATAAAAATAATAATGATGATTCACAGTATTAAAATCAACAGTTTTTTTAAATAAATTTCAGAATACTTACTATTAGTAAATTCTTCAAGCGTACGATTGTCAAAGGGATAGAATCCTAAAGAAAATGCAGAATCCATAAAGAAATTTCCTTCCAACTGTTCTGCATTTTCGGGCTCAATGCCAAGCTTTTCAACTATCGTTTCAATCATCCATTCCTTCTTGGTTTGATTTTGAGGCATCCAGGACTGTTCACCTAGCCATATACCTAACCACTTCTGTTTCAACTCTTCGATGCTTGATACTGTATATGCCATTTTTGTCAGGGGTAGATTTAATCCACCGTAAGATTGAAGTATATCAATATATGCACCTTTAGGTGTATTAGTGTCGTCGCTACCAATTATCTGATAAATATTTGTTTGAGCAATGTTTAAGGAGGCGATTTTCGTTTGCATAAAAATGCTCTGAGAGTAATTATCCTCGCTAATGTTAGGATTTAATAGCTTGCTAGCGATACGCGCCTTTTCAGCGAGATCTTGCCATTCTGATTGTTCTAAATTAATGAGGGATTCTATACTGGTTTTGACGACAGAATTTACGTGTCGATCCTGATCCTGATTGGTAAATTCCGCCATTCGCTGCAATATTATTAGGGATGGATTGGTTTTCATTATGATGTGAACAGCTACACAACGTAATTCGTAGGCCTCCTTTAAATTCAAGTAAATCTTCAAGGCGACGGATCTGACAACTCTCGCATAGCTTTCGGTTAATCTGTTTAATGAGATGACCATCATCAAACGTTGGAATTTCGATATCGGAATTGTGCCTTCCAGATATGGCTCAAAAACGGAAAGTATTTTCGGATGACCGAAATTACCCAATGCCATAATATACGTTTGAATTTGATGACTGTCGCTTTTCTCAATGGCTTTTCTTAATTGGGTAGCCATATATGGAATATAAGTTTCAAAAAGTTCATTGTAATGTTTAGGGACTATACGGCCGAAACTGTAGACCGGATAGTAAATAGATAATTTGTCACTTTGAGTGTAACGAGCCAATTCGGCGAATGACAAAGGTGCAGTTGCATTCAAAAATCTCTGTTTTGTCACCTTTTCATCGGTAATCAGTTCCTATATAGAAATCAATCACTAAAATTAATCTTTGCATGTAACGGTTAGTACAAATATTTATGTAAACAATGAGAAATTTTAAAGATTACAATTCTTTTTATTTTTTGCTTTGATGTGAAGTAACTCCGTTATATATACCGTGTCTGTCGAACTTTTAATTTATCAAGTATTACGCAATTTGACGAAAATTAAATTTTCTTTCCATGAAAAAGTCAAAGAGGTTCTGAAAGTGATGTAAAAAAAAAATATCCGTGTCTCGACGTTTTACCAGATAACGTCGTTAACGTTTTTTAAATATCACCAAATGTCTTTATGATACTGTACAGCACAGAACTTTAAAAGAAAAGATATATAGTTGACATATAGTTGGTGAATATTGTTGGTTTATTGTTTGTCATACAAAACCGAATCATACAAACGGCAAATCAAACGACCAAGATTCTTATAATAATTATAATTGTAATTGTATTATTATTATTATACAAAAATATAAAAATATTTGAAAAAAAAAATCTTCAATTATTTTTTTGTATTCGAACTCATCGCATAATTTCACATGAAAAAATTAGTCAATATATAATTTATTTTAAAAAAATTATTATATAATTTAAATTATTGTAAAACGACTATATATGAAGTAATACGATAAATGGCTGCATAATAAACGTTAACAACTTAATCTGGTAAAACGGCAAAACACGAGTATTTTTTTTACATCTACTTTCAGAATCTCTTTGATTTTTTTTCACGGAAGAAAATGTGTGTTGTACTGTATTATTTACTATAATAATAAAATAAATGAACGGTATCTTTCTAAGATTTTATACTGTCTAAAAAAATTAGAAATGTCTAGTTTTTAAACTTAAAAAATATTTTAAACAGCTGGGGTACCGAAGACATTGCACAAATTGAACAAAGATTACAAGATCTAAGCATTTGTGTTTTGCTATACTTCATCTTATTATCCTTTTATTTCTACATCGGGTCTGTCCAAAAAACTTAAGACCATCACATATAACAAATATTTTACTCATTATAGTTTCAGTAGTATGTTAATAAAAACTTAAAATGTAAATTAATAACATAAAGAATGATTGCATGCAAATTATCCTCCTTCTCACTTCTTTTCTAACTTTCAGGACGTAAATCTTCGTACGCAGCGTAAATACCAAAATTACTCTGTGCTATACATTGCAATATATATACCATAGATATAATGAATACTTACAAAAAACGCTGCGACATATTCCGTTGTAGGTGCGAGCGCGGATTTAGGAATTTTCGAAATAATCTGCGCCGCTTGTATGCCCACGAGTTTTCCAGTTTTTATCCAGTTTTTTATGGTGATAAGAGCGGGACCAGTTCCGGCGTTTGCAACGGCGCAGCTAAAGGCACTCCATGCATTTTGATGTGTTACATTAAAATCCGTTTCAGTAAACGAATTCACAGTATTATACATTGTGGATACTCCATTATCTATCTCAGCGATCTGTTCAACATTCATGGTGCGAATCAATCTAACCAGAATTGTGAATCGTTCTAAAGCATTGATGTATCGGTCGTTTATTTGCTCCGGGGAAAGATGTTTGATAGTTTGATAATTGTCGTCTATTAACGTCCGACCGATCAGACGGATCGCTATCCGAGTATAATTCTCTTCGGAATTTAAAATGCTCATGCCTTTGTATCCAATAAAATAGGGTAATAGCGGACTCTCCGGAGCTTCATCCAATTTCGGTTTAGGTTGAAAGTAATCTTGTTCCTCGATCTTGAAGTTGTCATCGTCGTTATGGTTTTCCTCGCTAGAATTGTTAGAATTATGGTTCTCGGATGATTGAGCCGCCAAGGAACTTTGACTTACATTCGGACGACGCGGTTTGCGTTGGCTAGAGAACGGATTATTGTAAGTGTACACTAAATTTCCAGTTGACACGAGATTGTTGGACACAGGCACAGGGTTAGAGATCCGATTCATTCTATCCAAAGTTAAATTCATACCACTGTAAACAGCGCCACAGTATGTGTTGTCAAATTTAGATTTATTAATTTTATGAGAGTTGATTAACATGATCTGATTTGTCATCATGGAAGATTGAATAGTAAAACGTTTCAGGTTACCGGAGATGGTAATATAATTCGAAGATGATCTCTGCAACAAATATACAATCTCAAAAATAAATTTTATTCTCTCAATGTTGTGTGCATTTTTATTTATTGAATTATCATACGTATAGAAGTGATAGAAACATTTAAAGCGAGACAGTTTCGCTAAATCTTTTTCTTGATACAGTCCTCAATCACGTAAGATTTTATCATTTTATCAAATGTTGTTTGATAGCTGTTATCTATCAAAATCTAACTCACCGAAAGAAATTCATCGTTAGATCCTGGTTTCCAATTCATTTTATTGATGATACCAGAATGATAAGCTACTCGCTGTTCGCATCTGGAATAATTCTTTGTTTTTGCAATAACGAAATGTTGAGCATCTTTGTGGAGATGTGGCAAAGATATTGACAAATGATCTCCCTTCATTGACGAAATACTGTAAAGGACCTCGCATTTGCCGCCAACGGAATCCTCCATGACTTTAAATTCACTAAAAGACTGATTGTCGTTGGGCATCATAGTGCTCCTACTTGCTATTGCGTTCTCACCCTCTGTGTCAATCTGCAGCTGACTCACAATACTTTTTAGCAAATTCACCTCCCAAGTAGGCACATCTTGATCAATTAACACATCTCGGATCACTCCTCGTTTGAGCTTGATCTCAAAGGGCTTTTCTGATAATGAAAGCTGGCGAAACTCAAGGTTGGTGATTTCATCCGAAATATCCGACAATATTTCGTTCACAGAAGCATGCTGCATCTCGGACACCGCAGCCTGCAGCGTATCCGATGATTTCACTTGAATAGTGAGTTTACCTCTCATAAAAATTCCGGAATACTGCTCAGCTAGCCCGACTAAGCCCGTCAATGTTCGACTTTTTATAAGATAATGATATTCGTTTCCCGTTTCCCATGCATGATTGTGATCGGCTGTGACCGCTTCAACTATCGAAAGAAAGCGTCATTACTTTTCCAAGTATGTTTTAACAAATAAAATATGTGTAGTTCATGTAAAAAAATTAATTTACAGAATTTTGTTGTACTGGTTATTATCTTAACAGTATTCACTTTTTAAAATTAAATAAGTAAAATTTTTTCTTTCAATTTTCTTTTAAGTTAAGTTAATTTTAATGATTTATGTGTGAAATTAAGTTTATAAAATAACTAGTTAAAGTTAAAAGTTAACTTGTTCTAAATTAATTAATTTAAAAATTATGAATTTCTTAATTTTATTACTTTTAATTAATTAATTTGTTATTACACAATCTTGATATTTTTATAAAAGTTTGGATTTACGTTATCTGTTTTTATCTTAATGTATAAATTATCTATAACTTAAATTGTAAACAGTATAATATTAATTTTCAAATTAACAATCATAAATATTAAATTACTCCCGTCAATTTAATACCACTATTTATCAAGTAATAGAACAATAGGACTCGGCGCATAAATCAGTGTGCTAATTCAATCAAATAATTATTTTCTTAACAACATGAATATTAAGTTGCAATAATTTATTTAACATTAAACATACGTTTCGATTCTATATTTAAGCCATCAACTAGATTTAACAATTAATATCGCGATTATAGTGCGATATGCAGGTTCGCATCTTTCTAAAATGTTAATTCATCGTGTCGTCATGACAAATTATCATCACAAAAAGATGGAAATGTATGTACCTAATTGCAGTATGGATTGTTAAATTTTGTTGATGATGATTCAAATACAGAGTTGAAACGTACATTTGAAACGTTAAATAAATTGTTGGGACTTAATATTCATGTCATTAAATATAAATGATTATTTTATTGAATTTACGCATTAATTTCTGCGCCAACTCCCATTGCCTTTTACTAATTGCCTGGTATTATTAAAGAGAAGCTAAACTTCCACAGTTTTGGATAAATCACAGCATTAAAAAGGAGAAACAATATATTGTTTTAAATTTCGTAATAATTACTTTACTATGTACAGAAAATTTTGTTAAATACGCATTAAAAGATGAAAAATGACGTCATCGTCCAATTTTCGTAGAAATTAATATTATTTGTAACGTTGACATCTACTTACTGATTAAGAGAAAAGCCAGATACATCCACATGATATGATGCGAATAGTGTCAAATGCAAAATGAAAGCTCCTTCTTCTCAATTGGATTTATATATGCTCCATGTCAGCATGACTCGCACGGAACGATGCTCATTGATTTAGATTTTAACTTGAACTTAAAACTATATTGTTCCGACGCACGTGATAAATTATTTTAACCTTGTACATACTAGAATTGCACTTGGTACATCCTGATAGTACAATCGAGTGTGATTGAGAGTAATTCACCATAATTGTGACATACTTGGAAAATTGAAGACAAAATCGTCTCATATATTATATTTTTAAACAAAACAATAACTTCGCCCAAAAACATAATTCATTTTACCGATTATTCAATAAATGTCCACATTTATTAATAAATTACTGTTTTCATCAGATATCTGACACATAATCGAATCAATTGAATACTGTATGTTGATAATTTTATATATACAATAGAAGGTCTAAAAATTTATATAATTCTTTACACGATTTTTTACGAAAAATTAAGAAAAAACTAGTTTGTATTACAAATTATACTTAATTTGAAAATTTGAGCAATTATATTTTATATTATTATATGTTTTATCGATATTTTCATATCGATGTTTTATCGATTTCTTATTTCTTATAATCATAAAATTTCTCATAATCATAATACTTACATAAAATTTATTGTCTTTCACAGAATGTGTTTTCACATATGCATCACATTCCTGTTATTTTATCGATAGCAAGTAAGTTTGCGCGAAGGTTTATAACAGGTCATTGGTAATCTTTAGTATGTGTTAAATGTTTCTATCTTTTTAAAGATTTTTATAATGATCATTGCTGTTTTACATTTTACATCAACTGGCCATATTTTTCTAATAAAGCACAATCTATTATTAAAAACAAAATAAAAGTTTGCCTCTCTATATATTATATCAGTTTTTTAAAGAGTGAAAGAAAATTATTCATTATTAAAAAGATTTTGTTAATAAAAATATAGAGATACTATCCACGGAGAGAAGATCACGATCCACATATTTTATGATCAGATTGGAAGACTCGAGTGCGTTATTTAATTCCACATACATTATTATCGGACTGCCCAAGGATACAACAATAATGCATGCGGAAGTAAATAACGCTCGAGTCCTCTAATCTGATCATAAAATGTATGGATCGTGGTTGTTTTTTCTGTGGACGCGTATAGTAAATATCATCTGCAGTGGAATTATATAAAATTAACATATAACTACTATTCTAATTATTGTCATTTATTTTTTTAAATCTTCTATTACGACATAAAAAAAATCTACACGGAAAGGACAGTTTTATTAAAATATTAAAAAATTTAACTAGATACACACACATATCTGAAAATAATTTCGTTGGAACATTATCTTACATAATAATTATGTAAGACGTTCAAACTGATGGCTAGGATGTTAAAACATTTTGCAGCATTGCTCATCATACTTGAGATTCCTACAAAATTATTTTGATAATCCAACGAAGTTATGTTTGGATCTGTAGGTACCTAAATTTTTAAATACTTCGACAAAGTCATTCCTTCCATGTTATTGCAAACTCATTTATTTATTAAGGAGAATCATTTTCCTCTTTATTGTTGATTCATATATCCATAGCAATATTCCACCTATACTATATATAGAATTTCCGTTTCTAATCTGTTTAATTTAGTGCGTGTATAGCGTTTGCATTCTCAGCGCGTTGAAAATACAATGAGAAAAGCAAATCAGTCTTCAAGACGTCAACGAACTCATTGAATCACGATAAATTGCAGTTTTTATTACACAAAGTCAATTTAAAATATATGAATATTTACATTACATGTACAACTTCTTTTATTTCTGTATTAGATATGAGATTGAAATTGAGATTGAGATTGAATTTAATTAATCAGAAGAAAGAAAGCTGATATATCAGTGAACTTTGCTTTGATTGATCAGATTCAATTTCAACTTTAATCTCAATTTCTAGTCTGATATTTATGAATGCGAATGCACTGCAAACTCGCGTGTAGCACATAACTCGCGCGAAGCAAGTAACTTTATAACTGCGATTGCTGCGATACGGCGATTGCTGTGATACCACTATTAGCGACTGACTCTGGAGCCGCGGGAGGATGAGGTTTTGTACTCTAGATTTTCTAGAACGTTCTGAAACTCTTTGACATGAACTTAGAATGCGAAACGCCTTTATTGAGATAATAAATAATTGGGATGAAAGGGAAAGACGATAATCAAAACTCGTTTGTCACACAGACTGTGGCTGCTTTTCGTTGCACGCATAATCAGCATGATGTCTTATTTTATTCTTGCTAAACACTTTGAATAACAAAGATAAAGCAATACCTCATACGCATTATGTATGCAATGAAACGCAGTCTTTATTTCATTGTCTCTTATCTACACTCACCTGTAAAAAGTGGGTCTCTAAATTTTAGCAACACAAATTTTTTATATTTATTAAATAATAATAATTTAATGAAAAATCATTTGTATTGGAATAAATCAAAGCTCAAGTTAAAGTTTGAACATTTCACTTAATAAACAGGGAAATCCAAATTGAATTACAGAAAATATTTTACAAAACATTGATGTTGTTGAAGACCTTAAAAAATAGAAAAACACATTTTTTTTCTTTAACTATTATATTATTATATTTTATAAAGCATTTTCTCTCTTTTGATTTTCTTGGTTATTAACAGGAATGTTTAATCTTTAATTTAAGTTTTCATTCACCGCAATACGATAATTTTTCATTCAGTTACTGCAATTGAAAAATATAAAAAAATTTATATAAAAATTTAACAAAAATTTAACTAATTTTTTTATGAACACAATATTCTGCTAGAAAGAAATAAAAATTTAACAGTTACTTTTCTGACAAAAAGAACAATTATTGTATAAAAGACAGATCATGTAATGATAATAATTAATTAATGCTGATGATTAAATGAATTGTGTTGATTTCGAACAGCTTGGGTATGCGAAAAAGAATATATCACGAACAATATTATGTTGAAAAGCTTCAACTTTATTATTTGCTTACATTACTGTATTATTAAACAACACTGTTAAATCTATAGTATCAAATTAACCTAAGTGAGTTAAGTTTGATACTATAGATTTAACAGTGTATATTTACTGCTTTCTAAAAAAAGAAAAAATAAAAAAGAGGTCGTTTTAAGTATGCATGGTCGGTATATCATTTTGGTATTGCCAGATTACTCGCAGAAGCCAGGAATGTGGAAAGTACGCGATCTACTGATAGGCTTTCGGGTAAAATCTGGATTAGCGCCTTGCTCGATCCTGCGTTTTATTAATAAAGATTCCTCGTTCTTTGGTTGGCAATAAAGATCAACATCCCTAGCGTAGCTTCTCTGAGACTTAGTACCTTCACGGCACATTGGTACAGGTTTGGTCGTGAAACAAATCTCTTCGTCTTCTGAAACAACTCTTGTACGGTAGACAACGTCGCTACCGTCTGATAAATCCTTTCTCTCCAAATGAGATCTTTTACTATCATGATTCAAGTGATATTTTCTCTTGAGATTATTGTTATGATAGCCCCAAAATTTACTATGTGTCGGCGATCTTCCCGCTTCTATATCGTTAATAACGTTGTTCGAACGAAATGTTGGCAACTCACGACATTGAGTGAATTCAGCTTTTCGTTTGTTCTCCAGAATGTCTTCGTGACGGTAACCCTCATCAGTCAAGGCATATGTAGCGGTAAATATTTCGGGCATCTTCATGAGACAGTTTTGAGGAGTGAGGAAATCAGTGCTGGGATCGGAATCGTAGTTACCACAAAGACCGCGTAGAGCATTGCGATATCTGTCAGATACCTGATGACAAATTTATTTTGATTGTTGTTATGCTTTCTATATTACTGCGATCGACTTATTAATGGCTGCGTTCGGAAACGTCGCTTAATATTAAATATTAAACCAAAACAGATGCTGATTCCGAAGCATCGGAGACATCCAAGCAACATTTCCGAATGCAACCATTACCAATTTGTTTCACATTTTTACTCACCAATAATTGAATACGTTCTCCGTCAAATAGTCCTCTGATATCAGATTTGCTCGAAATCACTTCTATCGAATCGTCGGGTAGCTTATTGAATTCAATTGTTTCATCATCTTTTCTTAGTTGATAACTTTTATATTGTGGTATATGAACGGGAGCGCCGTCGACTTTAACTGTAATATCATCACTCGTTTTCTCTAATTCAATTACGTGATCATCCAACCATAGAGCGACCACCTTGGTACCATCGGTACGATTTCTAATTAAGGCAACAAAATCCACTTCTGTTATATTTTTTCGAGTATCAGGATCCTTTCGTGGATAAGTGGTCGTTAGTACATGTTTATAAGTCCCCAGTTTCACAGGATAAAGCAGCTTATCAAAAGTAAAGACCATGTCTTTATCAACAGTACATGAAGCTGTAAAAAAAATTTTAATGTTTTATATGTAATCTACATTTTGCAAACGATCTTTACCAAATAAAATATAAATGCGCCATAATAACAATAATAGAACAATGAGTAATTTATTTGTTTAGAATAAATGAAATTCGCGGAATAATTGAGAAATGTTATAAAGTTAATAGAATATCAAATTATTAACTTCTCTGGGTTATTATTCAAGCATTAATTTCTCAATTGTTTCTCAATTAACATAATATATTACGTGACTCAATATATTAAATTATTTTAACTTTCAATATTAAAAAAATAGTAGTTATATCTTTTATGAAATCTCTTTAAAAGGTCTTTTATAAAATTTTGTGACTTACCTCTTCTTTCTTTTCTCCGGTATACGGTATTTTCCTTTAATAGCTCTTGCATTTCGGAATCTGTTTGCTCCATATTAGGGAAAGTAACATCTACTTGCGAAGAATCTAAGGAAGCCGACGGAACTGTTTCTATGGGTGACAAAATCATTTTTATATTGAAGACATTTCTATCAGAGTCTTCCGAGTCTGTTACTTTCACGTCTGAGTGAGGGAAGAGATGCGACAAATAATCTAAAATCTTGTGAACAACTTTTTCAACATAGTTAATTATTGAACCTCTAACTGAAACGTCCAACTGATTCTTCACTCGGGCAAGTTCAGTAGCCTGCTGGCAAGCACGCAGTGTATTATATCCCCTCTCCATTTCTTCCCGACATTGTTTAACTACTCTGGAGGACTCTAATATATCCTTTATTTGGTTGCTTCGCGACAGGCTCCCGTTGACGACAATTTTGTTTTCTCTGCTGCTCTCTCCATAATGCAGTTCAGCTTTGAACTTATCTCTCGGCGCATGTTTCTTCATATGTTCGAAATTTAGAGGAGTATCTGGTGAATATTGCATTTCATGCGTATAGTAAAGAGTATAGTAAAGTTCAGATGTTGGTCTTTCCTTTCTCGATATTTGAGAATTCCAATATAGATAAATCTTTGACTTCTTGTCTACGTTGCTGTCCATCCAACCAACGGTGAACACATTTTGCTTTTCTAATTCGGGTAAGTTGAAATTTACATCCACTACATGGACATCACCCGACGTGAAACTTTTGCTGAAGCCTGTCACAATCTCCTGTCGTCTCTTTTCACTGTTTGGCTTTACATGTTTTAAAGGAAACATAATTTGTGACTCTGGTTCATGTGATTGCACGGCATTATCAATTGCAATTTTCTCATGAATAACATTTATGTGTAATGCACTCTTTGCTAACTGTTCAGGATTCATTATTATATCCATTCTTTTATATTGGCCGTCAGGTATCTCTCGTAATTTTAATAAGACCTGTAAAATGCTATTATTTTCTTCTACATTTTCTTCTATTTCTTTGTTATCAGTTTCTACTCGGACAGAAATTAAGTCTCTCTCTGCTATGGTTTTACGTTTTCTTTCTGTTAATACAAGATGCGTGTTTCTACTAAGAGATACAGGTTGAACATCACGAAGGTCTTGTCGCGTAGTGAAGGGAACAGTGCTGAGATGCAATACAGTGATTGGAGAAGTTTGAGTTTGTGGTCGAATCTTTAACGCACCAGTATCATGCTTGCGTTGAGTCAAATCATATTCCAATTCATATTCTAATGGTAAACGCAACATTCGATTGACATGAGCACCAGCAATGTAATGATGACGCTCGAAAGGTGCTATAAAACCAAACTGTTCCTGAACCTTATTGGCAACATACATATTTAACACGCCAGTTTTTTTTTTATTCGAAAGTTCGTCATTCCTCATTTCAGCTTTAAGTTTAAAAATCATTGGCGAGTCTACAGTATAAAGCAACGGCAGGCCACTTTCAATTGGGAAGCTTAACATCATTTCGGTATTATAGAAGGAAAGTAAATCCACTTGTTGATCCCTCTTGAAGAAATCCTTCAACTCTGTAATGTAATAATAGTTTATGTCTTTAAAAGTAATATTATAGTAGTAATTTTATAGTAAAATTCGGAATACTTACGAGAGGAAATTTTTTTAACAGTACTACTGTTAAAGGGATAGATCAGAAGATCATGTGCTGTGTTAATAAAGGCATGTCCTTCCAATTTACTCAGATCTTCGGACTTGAGCTGAAGTACTTGCATAAGCTTCTCAATACGTGATTTTTTCAATAATTCATGACTTGTTTCTTCGTTCTCCCAATGGCGCCACAACTGCTTGGCACTCGATACTAAGTATCCTGCTTCTACGGTAGGTAATCCATGGGAATCGAAAATAGAATTCACAGCAACTTGCAAATATGAGGGTATTATACCACTGCTACTAATGGTTTGCACACTAAGTCCTTTAATACTCATGTAATCCAAATCTGTGTAGTAGCCTTGCGAATTCCATCTCTTAAACTCTTTCGGATTCAATAGATGCCTGACACTGCGCGCCTTAGTAGAGAGATCTTGCAATTCTGGTCGCTTCGTATTGGCGAGACTGTTTATTGTACTTTTTACAGCAGAGATTACGTCTTCATTCGAATCGTCATTAGTAAATTTCGCTATGCGTTGCAACATAATCAAAGGTGGATCGAGTATAATATATCGATGTATGGACATACAACGTATTTTATGATCTTCGTTTACATTTGAGTAGAGCTTATAAAAAATTGGTCCAACTAATTTCGGTTCGAATTTGCTTAAGGTGGCCAGGGAAGATACCATGAGCAAACGGTGGAACTTCGACACCGACTCCTTGCCTTCTATGTACGGCTCAAAGATCGAGAGAACCTTCGAATTGCCTGTCAAACCAAGTGCCATGATATATACTTGAATTTTTGAAGTGTCACTTTCAAACAAGCCTTGTTTCAGTTGTTCTTCCATAAAGGGAATATAAACGTCGTTTATCTCAATGTGTTCGGGTGAGACTTTATGCCTGAGAGTCATAGGGCCTAAACGCCTCAAACTGCGTGTCATATAGTAAGTATTGGCATAATTTTTACGTATTACTTCAGCAAATGCTATTGGTGCGGTCACATTTACGGCTGTCTGGTACAATACTGATGGATCGGATATCATTTCCTGCACAAAAATCAGATAAAAGTTAAAATTAATTTTTATTTTTACACAGGGAAATACATATAACATATATGTACGTACGTATATACTGTACACAATTGGAAATTTGTTTTTATGTTAATTTAACATAAGTTGAATATGTTAAAAATTAAGACAAATATTTCGTAAAATATCAAAACGTAATTCTAATACAATTTATAAATAGTTATTCTTCTTCATTATAATTAACATTTATAATATGTTAAATTAACACATTTCATTTATTTATCTTAGAATTTAAATTTTAAAAAACATTATTTTTTCGTTTTTGTTCATTATTATTCATGAATTATTATTTTAACACTAAGAAATATTAAATATCAGTTTACAAAATATTCAAATAACACAATCACATTATATATTAAATTGACATTCGAATATATTAAAAATTCAATACAAAATTGTAATAAGAACTTAAGTGGACTATTTCTAACACAAATACAAAACGTTTTTTACTGTGAATGCAAATAATAATTACTTGTTTCAAATATATTTAAAAAATTTATGGTAGCAAATCCATCATAAATTTATCACAAGCATCAAATTTGTCAAAAACATATAAAAGTTATGCGGTTCGCGGATTTCCTCCGTGTCCAGATCCATTCTTGGAATGCCAACGAGGAAACCCGTGAAACGTATAACTTTTATATAGAAAATACCCGTGGAAGCTTCAAGAATATCGTTAAAAACATATTCTAAATCCTAATAGTTTAACATTTCAATCAATATTATTCAATTAAACAAACTCGATTTGCTTATATAAAGTCACTTCTCTGATAATTTTTTTATTCTTCAAAAGAATAAAAATTCTTTGTTGAGTAGATTAAAATTAATTTCTTAAAATTTTTTTGTAATATAAGCATATTTTAAGATTCTTAAGAAAATATTCTTTATTAAATATAATCATTATTTAAAAAAAAAAGTAAATCGAGTAATCATTTTTCTTAGCAATAAAATGATTTCTTTTTGTGTATATGCATATCATTTTTAATTGTTGATATAATAAGCATTTTGATGGACTGCGAAGAATTAAAAATTAATTGTTATTATGTATAAATAGGTACTTACATAGAATGTTCTGACATATTCTTTTGTTGGTTCGTGAACATACCGGGCAGCATTAGATATAATTCTTGCTGCTTCTATGCCTTCAACTTTTCTAGTTTTTAACCAATTGTAGACAGTCACCAAAGCGGGTTCTGTTCCGGTTTGTGCAACAGCATCCCGGAAGATGCTCCAGACAACATTCTTGTGATCTGCATGCATTCTGTGATGTAAGCGTTCTTCTAATTCACCAATCTGCTTGAGGCTCATGATGCGCAAGAAGTTTCTTAAGTACACATATTGCTCCATTACACTTAGACGCGTGTCATTAGAAAACTGTATTGTTGCAGCCATTTCATGAACTAAGTCATGAATTAAGTTGATTTGTTCATTTGTGACAGTCATGAAGGATAATAGCGGGTTTTTTTTGTGCATCGAAGCCATGTGCATTGCCAGTCTTTTAGGTGAAAGATTGCTCTTATATAAAGTGTGATCCTCATCGCTGGAGCTACTAGAGAAGCTGTTCTGGTCGTCCCTTTTTTCAGAAGAACTGGTTCTCTCTGATGAATATATTTGCTCGGAATTCATACTGACGCTTGGTAACATTGGATTCTCAGAATCAGAAAATGGATTGTTATATGTGTATATTAGGCTTCCAGTTGATTCGAGGTTGCTTGATTCGAAGAGATCAAACGTTGGACTGGACACTTTGTCCTTTTTTATTAAAGTCATTCTTATTATGCTATGGACGTTGCCAAGGAAAGGACGAGTTTTTTCAGGCCTAACGGATATATGATTCTTCGTTACGACAGATTGAATAGTGAATCTTTTCAGATGGCCCGAGAGAAGCATTCGAGTCGTAGATAATTCCTATAATAATCACATAACCGCAAATAAGAAATTTCCTTAAGAAATTTTATTATTTTCTTTTTTATTAATTGTAATAATTTGATTCTATTAATACAGTAGTTTGAATCATTTGCTATAGAAAAATATTAATATTTTAAATAAAACAGTCTTTCTAAAAAATATTCTTTTTAATAATTTTCAACAATTGTTGCATATTTTTTAACTATAAACATAAAATATAAAACAGTTTATCAATTAACTCACCGAAATGAATTTATCGTGTTTATAGAATTCTTCTCTTTCACGGACCATTGGATCTTCTAGATCATGATACATTTGTCGCTGAAGGCATTTCTCGTAATTCCTCATTTTTTTAACGTCGTAATAATATCCTTCACCACGTAAGTCTGGAAAAGGTATCTTGTCTGGTATCTCTCGATGAGCATCTGAGTCCAACGGTAAGATCTCGTATAGTACTTCGCACTTGCCACCGACGGAATCTTCTATGGCTGTAAATACAACGGGAGAATTTTCGTCGACTGGAACTTGAGCGCTTCTCATTTCTATCGCGTTTTCTCCCTGCGTGTCAATTTGCAGCTGGCTCAAAAGACTCTTGAGGAGATTCAATTCCCAAATAGGAATATTACGGTCGACTAATAAATCCCGTATCACTCCGTGCTTCACTGTGACCTCAAGTGGCTTTCCTGACATGGGAATCTCCCGATACTCCAGCATATTATCAGGAAGTTCGGTATCCGGGCCGTCCACTAATGTGGTGTGTAGATGAGCGTACTGTGGATTGGACAGCACCATTTGTAATTTCTCTGGCGATTTTACATAAACCGTCAGTTTAGCCTTTATATGAAGTCCAGTATATTGTCGTTTCAACTTGTCAAGACCTGTCACTGTCCGACTCTGTACAAGGTACTCATACTCGTTTCCTCTTTCCCAAGCATGCTCGTGGTCAAGCGCGCCTGTGACCACGGCCACGCCGGCTGCTGAAGAGAAATTACCAAATTGTAATAATTGAAATTTGTATTTTCTTGTCGAATTAAGATAATTCTTATTACGTTGGATTTTCAAAAAGTTACATTTACTTTAGTATATAAATTAGTTAAACAATAAGTTCATCCAAAATATGGAAGTCAGATATTGCGGCAATGATTTTATATCAATTGAAAAATTAATTAATTCTTACCAACTTGAAAAAATTTTTTTCAAAAATTTCATAAAAGTACAAGATATTTGAAATTTTCGTGGATATTATTACTATTTACATAAAGTTATTTCTTTATTAAGTCTTTCTTACCTAGAAGGATGATAGGGAACCACATGGTGTTATGTGGTTGCCAGGTATCGAATGTGAATGAAAGCTTCTTCTCCTTGATTTAATTTATATACAGGAGTATGCCAACTCAGCTTGACCTGCTGATAGTCACAGAGATTCAGTATCCGTACTTGAAATTGTACCGTTTATGAACGCGTGACAAATTTTTTTAACCTTTCACACGATAGATTACTTATAACATCCGCAGCATATTTAAGAAAGTAAAGACGGGTCGTGCCATCGGACTTCCGGACAGAACTTTGACTTCGTTTGAAGTTATTATTAACTTTGTCAGTTAATGAAAACACATTACTATCTATTAATGTTGTTTTCTAGATATCATATTAAAATTTATTAAAATATGTTTGACGTAATTAGGGATTAATAAAAAAAATAATTACTATTTGCGCAAAATTTTTTGGAACTTACGCAAAATACAATTGTTTATTTGCTACGGAACAGAATAAATAAATATATATATATATATATTTATATTTATATTTATATTTA